ATGCACTTGGGCTTTCAAAAGCTTAAGTTATGAAAAATTAACTTTCTTTTTCTGAAATATTGATTCTAAGCCCTGAAAGCTGCATTGTTCTAGGAAAAAGAGGCTTCATCAAATATTGACTTCATCTGTTCATTTTAATATTGATATTTTAATAGAAGTGCATTCAGCAGAGAGAGGGGTATCTGCTTCTGAAATGTGAAGTTTGAGTCACTAATATAGCTCCAGGTCACATGTTTACAACGGTGCGTGTGATGCAGAAGCTGTCCCTTAGCATATCGTCAGGCGGGTTGAGTCAGTCCTGCCAGCCGAGACTAAAAAAAGTAGCAGAACATTGCTCACTATGCAATTTGCACACAGGTAGAAATGATCAGATTGTCACTGTGGTTAAAGTACAGTAAAAGTCTATGTAGATCCAAGCAGACATTTGGTGTTTTTTTGAGAAAACCTTTAAAACAACTCAAAAAGTTCAAAGTTAGGGCTGTGCAAATAATCCATATTTATATTATTTATATATTTTAGTCTGATTAGGTTAATTAGGTCTTCTGTATTGATCATACTTAAGATTCTAATGTACAGATATCTGTTTGTTTTATACCTCGACAGTTTCGGCAAATGAATGAAATGAATAAATAAATGTATATATGTATTTTTTGGTTATCTGAAGAAGTTGGCAGAGTGTAGCCAAAACTGTCAAGATATGAAACAAACAGTGGTCTGTACATAAGAATCGAAAGCAGAGGTCATTGAACTAAGGCCCGCGGGCCGACTCTGGCCCTCCATGCCCCTTTGACTGACCCTCCAGCCCCTCTGCCCCCCACCACTTGAACTGGCCCTATGAGGCAAACCTGAAAAGTCGTTAGGGCCTATTTTTTTTAAATTACTTTTTGGCAACTAATAACACATCTGCATCTTGTGTTTTGTTGATTTATTTTAATTAAAATGATATTTATTTGAAGTATTTATATTTAAATAATTATATGATGTATTTACATTTGCTGTCGAATTTGCCGCTGTGACAAGCTCGAGGTCAAGACATGATGGTCAACACACGCGCAGAGTTCTGTAGTGCAGTTAAGGACACCAAAATGGCAAGTGTTAAAGTTCGAAAAGTTGACAGAGAGTGTTGAGTTTTCAAAGAACAGTGACGACCGATGATTTTTTTGTTCAGTGTAAGGACCATGCAGTTTGTCTGATATGTAAAGAAACTGTGGCAGTTTTTTTCAAAGAATATAATCTGGGTCGTCACTACGAAACCCATGAAACCCACAGAGAGCATGCTAGCTCGCAAAAGCAAATGAGAGATGATAGGATTTGGCTTATGAAAGGTGGACTGGCTGCTCAACAGCATGTATTTCTTCGCTGGCCTACCTGACCCCAGCCTCCCCATCACAGTCAGGAGCAATAATGTGAAAACAGTTTGGTGACCCCTGATCTAAAGTATAATCATTTATAATTGTGATGGCAATTATGGCCCACTTCAATTATAACAATGGCGTAATAAACGTGCAATGCAACTGTCAGGAGCATTGAGTGACTGCACCTTTCCCCAGGTCTTAAAGGTGCACCATGCAAATTTTTCTGACGGGGGTTTGCTCATCTGCTTTGTCTCCATGGAAATGTTATTGCTTTACCCCAAATTTTTTCCATATTGTGGCTTTAAAGTTGTCTCCAGGTGACACCAGCAGACAAGTCAGATCTGTGTTTGATCACAGTAAGAACGTGTGTTTTATTGTTCGTGTATGAGAAATAAAGACATATTTGAGTGAATGAAAGACAGACAGTTAGTTTAATACCATACTTTGGAACATTCCAGGCAACAACATCTCCGGCTTAACAAGTAAAGTCACATATTGCACCTTTAAGTTCGGATGTTGGCCAGAAGATTGTAGCCTCCGGTGCGTGTTTTCTGCAGATAGAGTCAACTATAGAAAACCTAACTAAGCAGACATTGACGAAACACGCAAACTCCGCACTTAAATCCCCCACATGGCCGCGGAATTGAACCGGAAACCTTACTGTGACGCGAGATTACATTGCCACTGTGCCATGTTCAGACTGGAAACTGAGCAAATGGTTTATTGTACAACAATATCCCGCTCCCACACAGGATTATTCATAATTCACTTTTGTGTTCACTCATCCCGATCTATCTCCCAAAAGCTTATTTAACTCCTACTTTTTCTGGCAACAAAATCAGCCTAAAAAAAAAAGCTATTATGCGTCCTACTACACATGCTGGCATTGCTCCCAGCGTAGAACAAAAGACACAACAAAATAATTATTCACTTTGAAATGGCATTGAATTATAGTTTCTCTCCCAACTGTCATCGGAGGACAATGACGCATTTCTGTAGCTATTTTCACTCCCGTTTGCTCCGCAGAAGGTACCGGGATGATGAGTAATTAAAATAATAACGCTTTCAATAATAAGATAAAAAACCTATTGGACAATCATTCAGGCTTTGCGTCTTTCACAGCCCAGACTGAATTGAAGTCTTAATCAGCGATCGCTCTCGCACTATTCCAGCGGCTATCAAGGAGAATTTTGACAGAAAATCTTTGGCTTCCTGACAAGAAAAATGAGCCGAACCAAAGGCCAAATTTCCTCAGGCAGTCAATGAAAGGCACGGGAAACACAACACGATAATAGAGTAAAAAAAAAAAAAGAAAGAAAGAAAGAAAAAAAAAAAAGAAAAAAAAAAGTAATAAGCAGGCATCCTCCCTCTCTGCAGAATACACTGGCATTGACTTGCATATCATGAGCACAAAATAGAAATGTCAGGATACCGTTTCTAGCATCTACAGAGATCATAGGAACACGATGCATCCTAACTAGAAGCTAAATTTAGATGGGACATTTCCATAATATAAATAGCACAATGGAAATAAGATCAAAGTAAATGTGTTTAAAATTCAAATGTTAAAATCGGAATTATTTTCAGATAGGCTACAATAATATTTTTGAGGGCATTTGGGGTATAGCTCAATGGCTCCTCCTAAGGGACTGCGCAGATATTGCAGCAAAAAATCTTCAAAAAAGCTTTAGTTTGGTTTTTTTTTTTTTTTGAAAGTGTAAGTCTACCACAACGTGAAGAATGATTTTTGTGCTGCTATTTGTGGAGGACGTGTGTAGTGGAAGTGCAATGACGCCACCTAGGGGTAGACATAAACATTGTGCGTAAGCGTCACCAAAGCAAACCGTATATTTACTCTGTTCAACCAGCAGTAGACAGTTTTAGAGTGAAATGCGCTTGGCTTTCTCACCATTTCACTTAATACCCAGCTTACTTATAACATCATCATTAAATTTCATACTCAAGATATAAAAGTCAATGTCCTCTAAGTTTCACAGATAGGAGAAATAAATGCTTGCAGTGCCACAGCCTTTTATTTTGTTGTTTATAAACCAAATGATAATTACTGCAACTGATTACACATAATAAATCTTAAATATCTGTGTGACAACTTCTGTCTAAATTACTCAGTGCTGTCAGTGGTTCATTAATCTTGATTGCACGATTATAAGTCAGTGTTTTAATAAAGCGAAGAATTATTCAAATCAAATGACAATTGCTAGAAGAAAAATGATTGAATTGAAGCAGTTTTACATTTAGTTAAGTGGATGACAGTTAATGGGTCACAATGTTATCACAAATTCTTTTTCTATGAATGTGCGTCTCCAAAAACACAACCAACAACTACTGATAAACTGAAAACAAACACAAACTACTGGAAAAAACTAAGGGTACGAAAATGTTTATTAGTTAGTAATATAGGACCATGGTGCTTATACTGTATGTAACTTTGATTTCAATAGTTTGGCTTTGTCTAACTAACAAAGCACTTTCAAATACTGTTTCTGTATTTATTTTAGATCTTAATCATTATAATATCAGGATATTTTGTATGTTGTTACGATTAGGGGTGTCAAAAGTATGAAAAATCAGATCCTTATTAATACCAAAACTATGATGAAAACTAGATACTCATTTGAGCAAGTATCAATACTAAAAAAACAAACAAACACATATTCATAGGACAGAAATGAATCATTCTTGAATAGCTTTAGAACAGGGGTCTCCAACCTGTAGCTCTCCACCCCCTTACAAATATCCCACCAAAGGATTTCTGAATTATACTTATTGTATTAAATAACTCAAATTTGATTAATTACCACTGTAAATGTGTTATTTTGAACTTTGCACACTGATAAATTGATAATGGTTTAATGTTTTATAGGCATCTAACTGTACATCTAAGGCTTGCTCTCTTATATCGAATCAATTTCTTGCGACTGCTTAAATGAGTAGCTCTCTGGCATTTTCATTTTGTAAAGGTAACTCACGGGACACAAAAGGTTGGAGGTCACTGCTGTAGCATGATCTTGAGCTGTATCAGAACAAGTCTAAGACCACATATGCCCATGGACCTACCTGGACAACTGAGGGATTACACAGATATAAGACCACATGGTGAAATAAAACAAAGTGCTACGATTTAATGTTGAAAATGAAATACTACTGACTAAATAAAGAGTGTTTTTATTATCATTGTGGTATCGGTATTGAGTATCAAAATTTTCTTAGTGTCGAAATCGAGTTTGAAGGTTTAGTATCGTGACAACACCAGTTCTGACAGAGTGGTGAGTTGGTATTTTGAATTACAATTAGATTCTGTGGTAGGATTTAGTTGATGCCATGAAGCCACTTATTTTTGGACTTGTGCGTTTAATTAGGAACAGTGGCCTGTGGTGTTCAATTCAATGGCTCACAAAACACACTGATAGGACAGAAACTCCTCTCGCACCAGGAAGCAATTCACAGTAAAATCCACTGAGTTCAGATTTACAGTTTTATTATTGTGCTTACTATGGAAGGGAGGTTGGAAACGAAACAAGAAATAGGCCTGGTTTACATGGATTGGAAAAACTTTTTAGCAGGAACCACTTTTTGAATTACTCCCAAACAAAGATTAAGAAAATAAGAAAGTTTACTCTGTAGTGTAGTTTACATTGTTAAAAAAAAAAAAAAAAAAAAACGGGTGAGTAGGCAGTTTGGGATGTAACAATGCTTTTGATCCAGAGTACGGCGCGTTCTGATCAAAGCATCTTGTACTGTTTTGGCATTTTAATAGCTTGTTTCAAAAGTTCAACGAAAATAAGGTAATGTGCATTCTGTACAATCAGTTCTCAAAGCTACCAAGGACATTGTAGCAGGAACTGTAAGATTACATTCAAATGAGTGCAGTGGTTTATAGTGGTAAAGTCCTTGCACAACTTTACAGTAATGGTTCTCAAAGGAGTGTTCAGGGCCAAAAAGTGAGTCACATATGGTACTTCTTTGCAATTCAAAAGTCTAAATAAACAGCAGCTGTCATAAAAATGTGAATTATTAAGATCCTTATTTACACATATGTATACAAGTACAAAGTAGGTCAGTGGTTCCAAACTTTTTGTCTCAGGCACCTAAGTTTTGTCCCACACTACCACAAAGGGTAAATAAAATAGATTCATAGTTAATTGTCAGTTATTACTTCCTTGTTTTAATTATATTGATGTCTAAAATCCCCCAAAACATTAAGGAAGTTATGTTACTACAAAAAGTATTTTAGATTCAAATACTATTCAATTTCATCTTTGAAGTAGCAAAGGTCCCTATACCCCTTTTTAGAAAACACAAATGTAGTAGATGTACATGTCCTGGTGAACTGAGTGTTAAGAAAAAAAAGCTTGATTCAAAAGTAAAGGCTTAGTCAGATATCATTAAAGTACCTTTTAAAAGTAGTGTCCAGAGTAGTTTTTGGTTTTGTTTAGTTTTACATTTCAGTGATTTTGTCCTCATCTGAAAAAGTTGAGTTGTAAATCCCGTCCAGATTTTCACCAGCGATTCCATTGGCTTCTTTGGCCTCTTCGTCCTCATCTGGTGTCTTTTTGCTAAAACAAGTAAAAAAAAATTTGTATTATTAAAGGTGCACACAGTATAACATTAAACAGCTCTACCTTACATTTATTAAATTACTGATGTTTTTTTTTTTGTTTGTTTGTTTTGTTATCTTAAAACTATCTAGAAAACCAGGCATTTTGATTTTGAGTGGGGTTGCCTCTCCACAGATCTGACCTGTAGCTTGTTCTGATTTGATGGACCCTCCCCCAGAAAAGCTACACAATGCACCTTCAACTCATCCTCAATTTTATAATGAAAACCTGTTTATTTACAGTTATGCTCCTTACCGAGTTCTCCGGATTATGGCAGTCCCCAGGAAGTAGACAATGGCAGCGCCCACTATCCCCATGACGACCCCGAATGCGATGAGCCATGGCGGGGTGCCAGGGGCAATTGGAGAGGCCAAAGTGGGCGGGATCCCCAGGAACTCCAGAGTCTGGTCTGTGAGTAGGAATGCACTGTTGATCCGATGTCTTGCTTCCCTAGAGGACAAAAATCATCAGTCATTTTTTTAGATACTCTACTAATTCAACCATGTAGGGCGGCAAGTCAGTGTACAGTTCCCATTTTCAACTGTGGGTAAATATAAAAGCTTAGTTCAGTTCAGTTCAGGCATGTGACATAATCCGCTATGTTGCCAAATAAGATAAAATGAAAGAACTCGAACTATAGCTTACAATTCTGCAGTTACATTTTCTCGGGTAATTTATTTGATAAAATTGTACTTCTCATAGTAGTTTTCATACACCACACCTTTCCTCCTACTAGAGTAGTAACAGTACTCTTAACTGAGTAAAAGTTCTGGTTACTCTTGCCACTGTTGATAAAAATGTAATGATTTGAATATTTTGTGCACTGCAAGTTCCTAAAAATACCAGATCCTCTGCATATTTTACTTCTGCGGGGTCTTAATTGCTAACACATAACATATTTAGATCACCATGTTATTTTTTATCATTCTGAAAATGCTAAATTTGCAAAAAAGTGTCTCCCCTCTCCTTGCTCTATGTGCTAAGTCACTCCCTCTTTAGAGCGCTACCACAATGCAATCAGCATGCATCCCTCTAATGAAACTACAGCACATCGCGTCAGGTGTGTGAAGTTGTGGTGTACTGTTTTGTATCATGATTTTACATATTTATAGAGCATTTTCATTTGGGAACATGAATAACACAGGCTTTTTTGGCTGAACATTAGACAGAATCCTACAACAAATTTTTGGGTTTGAATAGGGTTCAAGAGAGATCACTAAATTACTGAAACATACATGGAGGATAGCTAAAACCTCTTCAGGCATGTTTTGATGCAGGAACAACCTGTTGACATGGTAGAAATAGAAAGCTGAAAAACTTATTTTGCATAATACCCCTCTTTATCAGATGTGTCCAGGCAGTGACTCTTGCAGTTATATAGTCAAATACTTTGAACACTCACTTCAGTAATTTCTTGGACTGCCACTTTGTACTTGAATAATCTTCTTGATTTAACTGAGTAATATTTTCGGGTACTCTGCCAACCTAAGTTCTTTTTATACAAAGTCATATTTTAAATTTCTTTGTCAGCTCTTATCTTTAGCTTGTGGCTGATTTTTCTTGGCTAAATTAAGTGTATTTTTTCACTTTGAAGCTTTAGGAGATCATCTCAAAATCTGAACAAAAACACAGGTATAGGCTCCCTGCAGGCATTCAAAGGTCTGACCAAAGAGGACCTCATTCAGAGAAAGGCAATTACTGCTGTGTCCTGGATCTACTCACACTTGTACCTGGAAACCCTTCAAAGCGAGAAGGGACTGAGGGCCGAAGGAAGACTTTAAAAAGGATCCACACGGCATAGAGACAGGGCTCCAAGTGAGTCTACTAAATCCACAGACAATGGAGGGGCTTTGAAGTGCAGACTTACTTTGACTATAGCCAGGGTTTTGAAGGTAGAAATAGCATTGTCTTCTTCTCATTGACTTTACAACAGTCTCCTATTGAGCAGTAATAACTACCACATATGATAAAGACATAAGAACAAGTGCCCTCTCTGGTCATTCATCTGCATGATCTGACACTTGAATATATTATACATACATTTCTTTACCTTGAATTAGTAGAGTTGACTAAAGGCATTATAACTCAATTAAAGGTTAAAGGGCAAAAGTTAACTCACTCCATGCCTTATTCTTTTTACTGTGGTCCATATAAATCCCAATAAAATCATTTTGGATCATAGCTGAGCCAGTGTAGCAAGTAGCCCTCCAGTTTAGGCCTGTCAAGATAATTACTATATCAGTTTATTCAATTTCAATAATGAAATCTGGATCATTATATTTTGGACTTAGTATTTATCGTGTTATTTTGTTGTAATACAAAAAAAAACCTTGAGCTGCACAGGGTTGAAAATGTAACTTCCATGGCTAATTATTGGTTCATTCTCCTATTTATTAGGTGCAGAGTGCTCCTTTTAGTTGTACTCAAAATTTTTAAAGGTGCAATATGTAACTTTTTGGAGGAGGGCCTTTCACCTGCTTGTTTCTATGGTTATGTCATTGCTCTCAGTATGGCATTAAACAGCTCTACCTTAGGTGGTTTACACCTCACAAATACTTTGAAAAACAGGTATTCTGACTCTGATCAGGGTTGTCTCTCTGCAGATGTGACCTGTAATTTGGTCTGGTTTGGTTTCCATGAAAGATAGAAAGGTTTAATACCATACTGTGAAACATTCGAGACAAAGCAATAACACTTCCACAGAGATAAGCATTTGATGGACCCTCCAACAGAAAAGTTACACAATGTGCCTTTAAAAATGGCTCATTGGGATTGTCTTGCTTTATTATTATTTTTTTTATGTAAGTAGCTTAAAGTAGTTTCAATATGATTATTTATCACAATATATCTCTGTAGCAATATAACGTGCTTCTAGATGTGTTATGGTGACAGGCCTATTCCAGGTTGACTCTTCACTCTATTTAAAGAGTTGTGTGTGATATTGGTGTTACTTTATTGCGTTTTCCACATTCTGCTTCGGGATCAGAGTTGTTGGGCTGTTCACTGATGTCACCACAAACCAGAAGGACACTCTCGGCGTGATATTACAGACGATGATGTTGGACACTCTGGAAAAGTAAAATACAGTACAAATATATCAGTGACATCTATAAAACGTGAATCACAGCATTAGATAATGTTTATAGTATTTCTCACTCAAACTGCTGTCCTGGGAGCTGGTTCCTCATGGCAAAAGCCAGTGTGGCTTGGAAAAGGTACATCTCATTGTCGTTCCATTCATACTACAATAAAAACAGATGTGCTCACTAAAGCGAGGGGTGCATTCAATGAACTTTGTCCTCAGACTCAGGTGGGTAATGTATCACTGGTTTACCACAGTGTTTCAGCATAGAAAGCACATTAAAGTGTTTGACTAAAAACATCATCAAATAATCATAATGAAGCATGAGCAGAATTTTATTGGAATTAATTGCAAAAATGAAATGTAAAACATACAGCCTCGTTTCCCAGAGCAGTTTTGATGCTCAGTCGTACTTTGTAGGCCTCTGGAGCATCTACAAAACCCAAACACTGAATTAGAACACTACATGCAAAACTTGTTGTTACTACTTGCTACTCCTGCAGCTATTACTGCCACTACTACTATTACTGCTACCACTACTGCTGCTACTAGATCACATATAATATAAAGATTTTTTGTGAAAATAAAACCAGTAAGTGTACATTGTAAAGCGTAATCACAAAGCATTAACATCCAATATTACTCTGGGCCTACTGGATTTCAGTTTGTTTGTGGTTAATGTTTACAAGAATGTAGTTATCATTTGAGTACTACTAATTTTAATTTAAAATTATGCCTCAATTATTAAAATTTACTTAAAAAATAATATGAAGTGAAGTAAATGCTTTTAAATAAACACAAAAAAATAAAATTGTTTCATATTGGGTCAACCTTATTTCCATTATCATACTTGTACATACTACTACATATTATATTATATTATATTATATTATATTCAGATTTTTTTTTATATAAGTGGTATAGATTAATGACTATGTAAAAATAAAACAGATTTGCTATTAGTGCAAAAACAGTTATGGTAAGTTTCAAAAAATGAGTAAAATGACAAAAAACTGTGAGAACTAGGCGTCAAGTAACAAAACAAACATTTGAGTTGCACCTCTAATCTAACGCTTTAGAGATTAAACTACATTCCTCACAGGTTCAGCAATATTGAAAATCAACAAAAAGCTTACTTTTTATCTACCAAACATATGACAAAACTACTTCAGGTACTCACCTGGCCGACACAGCTCTTGTGCCAGAGCAGTTGAAGCAAAAAGCAAGATGAAAACTTTCTCCAACATTTCCACAGAAAACACAGGGGCAAATCCAGTGGTACTAAAGTGTAATACGAGATGTGAGGAGTCAGCAGTGAAAAACACACAGGATACAGTAACAGAGCTTAATGGTTAAACTTGGGCACGCCTGGTCAAGTCTCGTCTCCTCTCTCCTCTGTCCAGGCTTTTCTGTCCTGGCTCTGTGTTCTTGGTTAGGTCACTGCGGTGCTTTGGTGCTGTGGAGACTGGAAAGCAGTAGTGTTTGCTCTTGCCTCTTAGGTTAGCTGATAGGAGAGTTAATGAAGCACATAACTGAGCTAAAATAACAACAAGGTTGTTGAAATGGACTCAGAACTGCATCATGAGGACAATGTTGTTACAGCTTTTGATGTGTAGTAGTAATTCCATGTTTTTCACATTGTATAAGTCACAAAAAGCTTTCTCTTACAAGCAAAACGATTACAGTAGTATATGTAATAGTTTTGTGTAGTAGTGATGATTTTAGTTCTGCGTTTGACTAGATTAAAGTGTTTTGTGGACCTGAGTGAATCCAAAGGACAACTTGAACAGACCACAAATAATTGTTACTACTACTACCAGAAAGAAACAAATGTGCATTATTCAGCAGTAGCCTGAATCTTACAAACAAATATGAGATAAAGCCTAACTTCTCTGACATGTGGTGTTCATAGTTCACTTAATAATAACTCTTTAACTCCTCTTTAGGAAAACCTGTCTGACTCGGCTAATTTTTTTAACAAATAAAAGAAGAATGCCTGACACAGCAGTATGTGAAACCAAGAATGATCTTTTGCTCTCATTAAGTCAGCCATCTTCCCATAAACACTCACTCAAATCTGAAACAACGTCAATGATTTTACATTCAGTTATTACAGGCTTCTGAAGCATGCCTCAAAAACTAACAGCACAAACGCAGTGCTTATAGGAGAAGTAGGATGATGTATCACTGTGTGTGGAGAATGTATAGAGAGACAGCATGTGTCCTGTCAAACTGGGCAGTTAAATTCCTCATTCAGATCTCCATGTTTTGTTTGGCAAACCGAAAGGATTCTTCTGTAGAACTTGCAATAAACATCTTGGTCGCATGATGGCAGCAGAGAGTGGATAATGACAGTGCTGCTGGTCAGATGACGAGGAGAGCACGCGTCATATTTTTTAACAATATAGGAGTGGCTATATTAAGCTGTGTATTTGTGCTTCTTAGTCAACTGGTGGCCTACTACATAATAATAAATACATAATTGCTTTGACAGCCTTTATGTGTGCAGTATTTATAGAAACTTAGAGCTTTAATGCTGCACAAATAGACAATTAACAACCGGGTGTACCTTTGGCGAGAAGAACTCAATGCAGTCGCTCACGGCACTCCTCATAATTAGTATTAGTAAGTAACTTAACTAACTGTAGTTGTTTCTGAGGGGGTCAAAATGAATGAATTCTTTCCTGAAATACTAAAATAAAATACTATATAAAACTGGAGCCTAGACAACAACAAAAAAGATTTGATGTCTGCTCTCTAGGGACCCCTGCAGGCGTGGACAGGGACTGCTACAACCGGCACAATAGGCGGTGAGGAGGAGTGGACCAGCAGCAGCCAGCACAGGCGTGTGTCTGTCACAGGAAAACACCGCTGCGGGGAGTGATACCGCCCTCTCCCCGCGTCCACACGTCCATAGCCTTAGTACCAGCCTCTTCATCGGGATGCACTGATCCAGACCGTGTGTTTTCCCTCGCAGGGCTTCACCGGCGGCGGCTCCTCCATGCGTCAGGACGGGAATGGAGCAGGAATCCGGTACTACGGCGGCGGTGTCCGCGGCTGCGGGGACTTTCCTCTCCCTGAACGAGCACGAGCAGCGGTATTACTCGGGGCTCCACGCCGTGTGCCAGGCTGACACTTCGGGGAAACTGTCGTCTCCTAAAGTGGCCGAGCTGTTCAAAGCGTCTCAGCTGCCCCCAGAAGCCCTGCATAAAGTAAGTGCTGTGTGGCCAATGAGCGGACACTCATGGCACGCGTTACCACGGTCTACGTCTGAAGTCTGTACCTTTTACAATGTCTGATCTTCTCATACATCTTAGATAGACTGTCGACACAGGCAGACCACCACCACACCTTCTTTAACCCCTTTGTCACTGATCATTTGGTATTGTAGACTTCCCACCTATGAATTGGGTTTCATTCACTTTTGTATTTCCAACCAGTTACAGTTAAAATAGATTTACAGTGAAAGTGCATTTTGGCAGCTTTTCCTTCATAGAAGGAAATCATATGGACTTTCAATCAAGAAGGTTATTATATTGGACCAAAATCTCTCTACTGAACAACAATACAGTAACAGCGATGCCTAATACTAGAAAGCAGTAGTAATTACATTAGTAATTATTATTTACTTCTTGTGATTACATTGGGCTTAATATAATGAGTTTAGGCCTGTCAAAATAACAAAATTTGAAGTGCAAAATATTCCTATAATACTAAAGACTAGTTTTCTTAGTATATTATTTTTCTGTTTAAGTGTGAACACTTTTAGTGAATTAATCTATAATCTGTCTATAGATGCAAATTATTGTTCAAACATTAACTTTCTACAAAAAAAGATTAATTAATTGAGCTGTAAGTCTGATAAAGTAATAAATGTGACAGTCCTAGAGTATTTTTTGCAGAGCCACTGCCCAGATGGAAACTTATTTTTTCCATCTGAAATGAGCCCCCAGTATCACTTTAGCGACGTAGGGTCTGCTCCTGTGATCTATGTGTGTGTGTAATGTGTGTAATGTGTGTAATGTGTGTGATGTGTGTGATGTGTATGTGTGTGATGTGTGTGATGTGTATGTGTGTGATGTGTGTGATGTGTATGTGTGTGATGTGTATGTGCGCTGTCAGGAAGCTGGGCAGTGTTGTGGCTTCCTTCCTGTCCGTCCCTGGAGCAGTGCCATCACACGGTCAGGGCCACTGACACTCAGCCTCTGTGTGAGTGGGCTGAAGGATGCCCCCACTCTCCACTGGGGTCCAAAAGTCAAATGGTAGAACAGAGATGGCACTGGTTTTTCCCCTTGTTAAATGTACACTACTGTGATGAAGTCAGGATTTGTGGTGGCAGCGGTCAAAGACATTGCTGTTAATGTAAGAGATACACAACAAAAAGACCAAGGTAAAAAAGCAAATATAAACCTAGTGTGTTCAAAACTGAAAGATATGTAGTGGTAGAAGTTTTAACAAGCTGGCAAACCTTTGTCACACATTTTTAAAGTAAAGTCAGTATCTTTCTGTCTATGCCTCAGAATGGAAGTCCTGAATAGTTGTCAGGAGTTGCAACATTGTGGACCAAATAAAGGTTCTCTCACATTATCTTAAAATCCACACAAAAATTTCCTCTCATGTAAGCAAATGTAATAGATTATAAGATGCTGCTTCCTGCTCCTCCCGGTGTATAGCCTTGATATGCCCACAGCTGTCAGGTTGTAATAAAGTGACTCGAGTGGTTCTTGCTGAGTTGTCATTCCTCAGGCCACTTACACACACAGGATCAATTGTTATGGGATCACATGGTCTTATACTGCACACATCCAGTGTCTCACACAAGCACTTTATTCAATTGGTATCCATTTAAATGTGACGGTAATTACAATCATAGTTCACTTGTGGCAGTGAGGCAGATGGTGGGAGATATTCTGCACCTGTTTTAGAAAGATTCTGATATAGATATTATTGACTGAATATTGGAATAGTTCAAACAGATACATTTTTGTCAATACTGGCCTCTCCTTACAATGGAATATAGTATTACGTACACAAAGGCTGACACGCTTGGGCTACTGCGGCGTCAGACTTATATATAAACCCTCAAGCCACAAGCACATTTAAGTGTTACTTTTCCACACGCTTTGAGCTAAGAAAAGTTTATCCTGAGAAATAATCAAAAACTGTTGATTCTGTTAGGTCTAAATAATATATATGTATAGCAATCAAACCAAAAATGTAAATAATTTCTTCACAATTTCTCAAGTTATATTCCTGATAAAGCTTGTTTCCAGTCTTGTAACTCTAGTACCATTATGTGGTGTAATAGCACATAGTGAGGGACCAGTGGAGTGTTTAATATAGACTCAGAGGCAGCAGAAGAACCAGCCCTTTGTCAGGTATGACTTCACTTCCTGTTATCACATTTATCACACAGAACTCACATCAGGAAACAACCTGCAAAACACTCAAAACACAGCCATTAGTTCTCACAGGTTTCATCTAAAATACAGATTTTTTTTTCTGCTTTACATTTTATCAAGTAGCAAAGTATAACACCAAGTAAAATAATCACTGTAATGAGAACCTGACTAAACAGAGGCATTCTGACTGTGAACTGAATTGTCTTACCACAGATCTAACCTGTAACTTGGTGTGGTTTGGTCTCCACGAAGAAGGGAAGGTTTAGTTTAATACCATACTGTGAAACATTTCACACAAAATAACATCCCCATGGAGCAAAGTACCAGTATTTGACAGGCCCTCCACCAGAGAATTTAAACAATGCACCTTTAAATGTGCCCTTAAAGAAACTCTGAAAGTCTGAAATAACCCCTATGATGTAATTAGCTCACAGAGTAAACACACAGTACAGTCTTCATTCACCAAGGTTTACTCTGTATTCCCTCCTGACATCTTCACTGACCCACAAACCTTTATCTTGTGTCGATTTCATCAAACTCACTCACTACATGTAGGCAGCTGTCCTTCTGTTACATTGACTTCCTTCCTCAGGCCACGGTGTGACTGGTTCTTCTGGTTTCTCAAGGTCGTGTTTCTAAAATAATGGCATCATCAGTAATGGTCTTGAGCGTCTCCTGTTGAGTACATAGGACGCCAAGCTCAAATAATCTCTCCATTGTTTTTCACAAAGACTATTAAAAGCTCTTGGGCTGGTCTGTCAAACCACATTTCATTTGCATCTATTCGCAAATGTGCTTTAACATCTTTGTGGTAAGTCTCTATGACTAGAATTTAATATAACACTTGTATTAGATTTTCATTTCATAAAGCAGTACTGTCCGTAGTCACTTTTAATCTATTGCCATAATGTCTCTTCTTGATAAACACCTGTTATGTCTCACCTCTTGTATGAATGGTTGTAACAGATGAGAAAGCAAATGTACCCTCATTGGTACTCAGAATACACATGTACAATATATTGTTTAAAGACAAAACAACACTACATTGTTAGGGCAGAAACTGAACCACCAAATTTAGGGCTAGATGGTGACTTTATCTACTCCATCACTGCCTCAGTCCTGATAATATCTCACATAATATCTCACAAATAATTGTACAAAATAAAATACAGTTTGTCTATGAACTGTTAGAACTGATCAAAGAAATAATCACTAACAATTGTATGTACAAAATTAATCTTCCCCATCTTTTATAATAATTTTTTCTATGTGTGGTGGCTCTACTTCTAATCCTAATCTTTTTTGCTTCCCCAAAGCTTTCATTGTACCCTTAATCATACTTACGTCGTCTCTTTTGGATCCACCCCTTCAAGTATTTTACCTCTCTGTTACACACCATTCCTCTTGCTTATAGTGCCACTTGAACAATGATGGTTAATCTTCTCTTCTTGACGGTTGTTCAGTCCCTGCTGCTGGAATTCTACACTGCTCTTGTGTCTTTGGCCATACACTCGTAAACATGGGTGTATGAAATTTGAGTGCTATGAATGGTGCATTTATTTTCAAATGCTTGTACTGCCAACAGAGGTGTAAAACTGCTGTGCTAGATAAAAATACTGGACTCAACAATTATGGAAAAATAGATCTTACTGACATTTTTCTAACCAGGCACATAAACATTTCAGACTGATTTGAACTGCTAAAAAAATGCAATAAGTAGTTGTATTTCAGAACTATTTCAGAAGGATTATAGTATATTAAACTATGGAGTTAAATGATAGGATTACCCCATGGAGCCACACTGCAGAGGACATTAAAGTATGTGTGTCTTATTTCAATTTTTATTTTTTTTATTTTAAAGATGCACTGTGTAACTTTTCTGGTGGACGTCTGCCTACATTGTCTCCATGGCAGTGTTATCGCTTTGTTTTTGTTGTTTGTTGCTTTGTTTTGTTGTGTGTAATGTTTCATAGCTATTGTGTGTAATGTTTCATAGTAAAGTATTAAACTTAAATATTTCCATGGAAACAAGCAGGAAATACCACCAAGATACCAGTCAGATCTGTGCAGAGGATGGCCAGCTGACTGTAGGTGTGCATATTCTTAGAGCAGACATGTCAGACTCAGGTCCGGGGGCCAAATTTGGCCCGCATGCTCATATCAAATATGTATTAGAGCTGGCCGCCGGCTGCTGCGCCAGTATGGCTCATGCACCGCTACTACTACTACTAATACTACTACTTAATTGAACTTCTATCTAAGAAGAGATGCCAAGTATTTGTATCTGCTTTGGACCCATGTGTATCAGAGCAAATCACATTTTAGCAAACTGAGCATGGATAAATGTTTTCTTTATGACTTTTGACTGTTCATAGTCAAAGAAAGATTGGATTTTCATTGAAGCAAGTTGTTATTTTTGACTGGTTGTTGGCTTGTGAAAAAAAAAAAAAAACATTTGAAAGGAGTTCAAAAGCTACAGATATAGGCTATAGAGACATTATTTATTTAAAATGTTGTTATTATTTTATAATATGCTTCTTCTGGATTCAATGTTTAAGCAAAGCTATTATTAAACTTTTATTTTAATAAGAAAAGGTTTAGCATTACATACCTCAAAAGAAGAGAAAACATGCAGATGTTGTTGAAATTTTTCAGTAAATATTTACTTTGGTCCCAGATTTAGTCCTAGTTTTTAATTTTGGCCCTCTGTGAATTTGAGTTTGACGCCCCTGTCTTACAGCAATAAAAACACCCACAACTGAATGAAAGGAAGATGGATAAGTTTAATGCCACACTATGAAACATTTCAGATAAAGTAATACCATCTCCATAAACCTTCTATCCGAAAAGATCCACAATGCACCTTTTAAATGTGTTTGTTTTGCAGGTAACGGAGGTTTGTGGAGCCAAACGCCTGGGATACTTTGGCACAGCCCAGTTTTATGTGGCCCTGAAGCTTCTGGCTGCAGCCCAGTCTGGACTCCCCATTCGCCTGGAGAGCGTTACAGCCAGTGAGTCTAAAGTCCTACTCTTCGTGCTAAGGAGGAGGAGGAGGGGATCAGCAGATTATCTTAACATACCAGGATTTGGTCTAATCTGGATGAAAGCGGGAGTCGCGTGGCCTCATTATAAGAACACACAATCAGAGGTGCATAAGGGGAAAAGATTTTGAACATGACTGGTTCAGTATGAAAAGGCTGAGGGAGGCACGTGATTGACAGACTGAGTCAGAGGAATCTCACCTCAGTCCAGTGAAAGAAGCTAATGCGCTCATCCTGATTTATTCACCCAGTAAGAGTCTAGTGCTTTTGAGAGACGAGCTCTGTGTGTTTACATCTGCTGCAAATCAGTCTAAGCTGACAGAGATTTGCCTTAAGAGAATGATACGTGTCATTATTTTATTCATTTGCTAAACTCCCAAGAAACACAGTCCCTACAATGATTTAAGAAAATTCATTACATCCCTGCCATGGTAATTGAAACCCAGTTCTAAGAAAGGGAAATGAACCACAAAACCTATAATCCTTTGCATAACCTGTTTGTCAAATCAAAGCTTGTCCTGTGCTCTCTACTACTCTCTACTACCTTTTATTTGTTCAAGTAATGTCAGAATGTCTTCTCTTCTCAGACCTCCCATTACCCAGATTTGTGGGTCTGCAGAGTGAAGCAGAGATACGGTACCCCTCCATTCCAGCAGGGGGAGTAGAGGGACAGGTGGCCGCGAGTGCGACAGGACCTGGATTATCCTGGACCGGCGCAGACAGGAGCGCCTACAGACATGTGGAGCCCGGGGCAGAGAAGAAAGTAAGTCTGACTCAACATCCACATGCAAACGTAGAGTTACAGTGGAGTAATCTCTTGACAGTTGTTGATGTGAGCATTTGACTGGATACATGGAAATGCATATTATTTAATGTCTATATGTACTATTGATTAGTTTGTGTCTGATGGAAATGGGGAACTCCCCAGGAGCTACTTAGCTAATGAAAGGGGGCCAGACACATTAATAAAATACAGATCAATACAAATGTCATATTCAGATTAGAATATCTTAATAATACAGACATATATTCCTGCAGGAGTTGTGGTCTCCTCCCAGATCACCGTGCACATCGCCCCCTCGATCTCCCTCCAGCTACCGCAGCTACCCATACTCCAGGAATGGAGCAGAGCCACACATGGGTGAGGACATGTTTACTACACAGATTTGCAGGGTTTATCTGAATATACACTGTTCTTACGAAAAATAACATCTTATCTATTCAAATTGTACTTCTATTTAAGATATGAAAAAGAAATACATAGTCTCAAAGAAAAATATGCATGTTATTTTAGCAATATACATACGTAATATAGTAGATGTAATAATATATTTATGCCATACTGTGGAACATTCCAAGCAGAGATTAGCAGAGTCAGTTAGTTTAGTCTTTATTTGAAGGGACAAAGTACAGACATTATATCATAATATTATATTATGAGACATGAAATATTGTACAGAGATACTAACACAAAGCAGTAATATGAGAAAGAAAAGGTCATCATGATGTGTTTTGTTCATGCTTTAAATTATGTATTAAACTCTTACCAAATCTTAGAAAAAAAAAACATTGATTATAATGCAAGCAAGCAGAACTGCTGTCATGGAACAAATAATTGCAATGTGTTGTGCACCTACCTAACAGGCCTACATCTTATAATTAACAACAAGATATTTCTCTTTTTATATTTGTAAAAGTTAAATTTTTGGATTACACATCAGATTTAGCCAGTGATGCTACATTTGTCAAATAATTATCTTTGTTCTTATTGTCTGTAGTCTATCCTGTAGACATCCACTCATCTCGCTCAGGGGTTCAGCTGGAGCCACACTCTTCTCCCAGTAACTATGGGACCAAACCCTCTGCAGACCTCTCCTCTGCTGCTGCTATTGTTCGGGTATGCTCTGAATTAATGAATAATCACATCAGTAGCATATGTCTTTTGATTTATATTTTCATATTTGTGTATATTTTTGTCTTATTGCTTTCTTTATTTTAGGCTGGATCCTCTGAGCGACTTGACCAGCAGGGGGCAGACTACCCGGATGATGACCCCTGGAGGATCACAGAAGAACAGCTCCAGTATTACACAAACCAGTTCACAAGTCTGCAGCCAGATCTTGGGGCACTCATTATAGGTAATTTAACATTACACCACTATAGTTATGAGCAGGAACAGCACCAGTCAAAGTAGTGCTCCTTGATACGGCTTGGCTTGCACATTCTGTCATTGTACCCTTGAGCAAGACACTCTGTTTGCCTGTGTTAGTGTCAGGACTGAAAGAACAATGCAAAGTAAAGCTTTTGGGGTATCTTGAAAGTAGGGCTGTGCAATTAATTGCATTTTAATTGAAAAGAAATTCAGTAATTTATATAATTGTTAATAATAGTGGTTGTTTTTAAACAAGAGGTGTACAGCCCGTTCAAATTAAATTCAATCAAAAATCAGGATTGATCAATATGAGTTCAATTATTGACAGATTTCTTTGTGCTTCAACTGTTGCTGGTTTTTGATTTTAGGAAGTAAAACATATGGTCCTGTTTGAACCCCACTTCGCCTGAGGGCAGTGGAAATACCACTCATAACACTGGCCTCTACAGCACGTCCTTGAATGCTGATACACTGTGTTTAAAGTGCTGTTACTTTTGTTTACAAAGCTACTGCGACTTGCTTTACTGCATTAGACTAGCAAATAGCATTTACATAAAGGGTACAGTCTTGACTACAAACCCCATTTAAAAACATGGCTTTTGTGATTGGATTTATTACCTCCATTATGAAATATCAGCTTAAGTGCATCAGCTTTCTCCCACTGTATGGTAGGTGAAGGTGAACTGATGAAACTCCATGTACATTGTCAGTCATTGTGTGTCTATATTTACTATAATGATCCAGGCTGTAAAAATCAGGCATAATATGAGTGTAAATGTAGCTAAGTAAAATAATATTTAATTTTATTATACATAGCCATGATTTTTGAGTGATGAAAAATTACATCATGGTGAATAACTATTTAAAATGAAGTATTATATCTTTTGGATGGAAGAGCCCTCAAAATGTGGCATGTGACAGCAAGCTGAAACCCATGAATACATATAAGTAAGTCATTTTTGCTAAGGTAATATTGAAAATCTTTTTTTCAGGGGCCGTTGCCAAAGACTTCTTCACAAAATCCAAGCTGCCGATCCCAGAGCTGTCCCATATTTGGTGAGTACTGCTGAGTCACAGTTTGCCCTTGCCTGGTCCAAAAGTCCCTTGTGCCAGGGCCAGACAGATCCATTTCAAAGTGCTCACCACTACATCTCACAGATATTGATTGTTTATACACCTTTTATAGCTCCACTTTTAAACTTTGCAGATGCCTGCTTCCAGCAATCCACAAACACTCAAATGATTAGAGTGAAGTAGATTTTAGGGTTACATATTTGACTATATTTTAGATAGAACTGAGATCATCCATGCTATATAGTTTGCAGTTTAATAACTTTCTAATAGTTAAAAGTGAAAGGATGTTTAGTACAGTGGTCCTGTGTTGGATATATTTCATGTATTGTAACATTTTTAGTTGTCAGCATCAAGTTTAGGTAGTTTCTGTGTACATTTTAACATTTTCTTCCAATATTTTTAACATTTACTCATATTTCTATGTAAATAAATGTTATTGTTTTCTATTTTTTTTGTATCTTTATTTTTGAAGGGAGTTGAGTGACATGGACAGAGACGGAGCACTCACGTTTTCTGAGTTCTGCACAGCCTTCCATCTGATTGTAGCTCGTAAAAATGGCTACCCACTCCCCGAGAGCCTGCCCCCCACCCTCAGACTGGCGTTTGTACAGCCAGAGGAGGACATCCCGGAAACGCCTGAAGTATGTAGCACTGTTGAATATCATATTTTAGTTTTAGCTGAAATTTTCTGACTTTGTAGCAGTTCTGTGTGTGGCGATTATAATCAAAATATTTGAAATGACTGCTTCACTGTTGCAGCCTCTCATTGTCTTTGAGGACACTGAGGTGAAGCACAGTCAGGTCAGTATCTAGATTTTATTTGATGCGTGCAGTACTGCTTCCAGCCTGTAGATGTCACTATCATGCTAAATACAGCATTGTCTTGCCCACTGTCTGAAATAGAAACCACCTTTTGCAGTTTGTGTTTTACTTCCTCATACTTTGGACAATAAATAAGATGTATTGGTTTAAGTTTTATGAGGAGCATTTTTTCTTTTTTCTTTTTTACAGAATATTGACATCGTGGAAAGACTTCAGCCTCAAATAAAACCAAATGCAAGTGAGGAGGCTACTAAACAAGGTAAAAGAAAACCCTTCACTTACATTAGATCCAGAGTATGTAACAACTTTAAAATACATAATTCAAAATCATAAGGTTTAAGAGGTTTCTTATTGAGCATGCATTCATTAGTAATGATAGTATAAGAAGAATAGTGGTTGTAATGTGAGTATGAGCTGTTGTAGGAATTGAAGTTGCAACAGAAGTGGTAGCTTTTCACTATCTTTCATGTAAAATAGTTATTTTATATATATTTTTATTTCATTTTTCTGTTTTTGTTGACAGCTGATACCACTGTGAGGATAGCAGCAACACTGGAACCCACTCCAGAACCTATGACCTTTCCTCAAAGACCAGGTAAAGAGAAATTTGAGTTTTTAGTGCTAGTAGGCAAAGGATAGTTTTGCTTATGGTGAGGTTGCACTGGCATGGTCATTACCTTATTTGTCTAAGTTCTGTTTCATTACCACATTAATTGCTCTTTATGCCTCTAAGGAAGTCCGTGGTTCTCATTTACAAACTGAACATTTTGACTGTTTCTTTTCAGATCCTCCACAAGAGCTGGACCCACAGATGAAGACGAAAACTAGACCCAGGTCAGAATCTTAACATTACACAATTATGTACAAAAGATTTTCAAATGTGAACTTCTGCCATGGTTCTCAGTCCTGTCCTATAAGAAACCGTTTTTCCTGCCCCACTGCAGATCATACTCCAGTACATCTATTGAAGATGCCATTAAGAAAGCAGAGGAGCCACCCACTCCTCCACCACGACCACAGAAGTCCCACTCCCGGGCCTCATCCCTGGACCTCAACAAGCTTTTCCAACAGGGCGCATTAGGTACTGTAATGATAATTCATATCCAGAAGTATTATTAAAATGACTAGGATCTGTTTCCATTTTTTCATCATGCCAAACATACAGCAGTTATTTTCAACCAAAATCTTTGTATATTTTAGTGTTGATCTGTGTATTATTTTGCAAAAGGAATGAGAACATTGCTAATCCCAAGATTTTATCTGTACAATTGTACTTCCTGGTTTAGCCCACTCATTTTCTAGGTAAGTGTCCAGTATAGATTTTACTGCTAAGACTACAGCACGTGTACAGTGATATGCTTCCTCAGTTTGTGGAAGTAATTTTGAAGCAACAGGAACAATTTCTTTGTTGTTATGGTTAAGTCTAAAGCAGATCTCCATTTATAGTTTGTGTTTAGTAGAGTTACATTTGTTCTTGTTTTCAGGTGCAAAAAGTGGCTGGCTTCCTCCACCTCCTGCACTGCCTCCCAGACCGGCACCCTCACAGGTAAGACTCAGCACAGAGACTCATTATATTGTAAAGACATAAAGCAGAGAACAGAGAGAGAGACTGAACAAATGCTGTGTTGTATCTCTTGGGTTTGTAAATTAATGATAAGATGACAACACCCAAGTACAACCCGAAAAAGACTGAAATACTGAGTGGCTGGATCAGTAATGGGAAAGGAAAAGAGCAGTTATATTTAAAGTCCATTGTGAGGGTGTTTTTTTAGCGTTATTGGAGTAATGGGGAGTTAATGCAGATACTTTTTAAACTATTTGTGCTAATGTACAGAAGTGGGCATGCAAGAGACAGTGGGACTAATCTTGTACATGCCTCAAAGCAGATTAAAAAAAGCAAAGATAGTTAAATCAGTAAGGGCATCTGACTTAAAATTAGAAAACCTTATGTATATTTTTTAAAATTTTGCTTTACAGACAGAGACATCAAGTTGTGTGATGTGCACTGATGGACTCTTTATAGTTAACTTCTGCCTTGTTCATACTTGACTTAATCAAGTTATAAGCACAGCACCAGCACATTTTTAATTAATGTCTAACAAAGTTTCTAATGAATCGTTTCAGGTCCCCCATTTTGCCCCGGAGAAACCTCCTCAAAACAAGGTGCAGCAGCCAAACTTCGCAGACTTCAGTCACTTTAGAGAAGAGGTAAGATTCACCAATGAAAGTCTCAAAGCAAATAAACATTTTGAGAAGACGGTGCATGATATAAGTCTGTGCGCGTATACCCTATAACTACAGTAAAAATGTATTTTTTAAGAGTTTCATCAAAGCCCTTGCAACCTTGTAACTATAATAATATGGGCTTTATTTATGGCTGAAGAGATGCTGTTCCTTTGTCCCTGACTTGTCTTGCCTGACGTTTTGATATATTTCATTTGGGTATAAGCGTGGATTCTGTTACAGTACACAGAAGCCCGGGTTAAATATTTATGAAGCTGTCAAACATTGAAAATGACAAAGCACTGGTGTATTATTCACAGGCGTAAAGGAAGATGAAAGCAATTACCTGGAAATGTGACTGCGTTTATTATAGTAAAGTTAGAGCCGGTAGGTTCAAAGTCAGGTCATGGTCAATAAATTATATATAGACTGATGCAGTATTAGATGTTGGACTTGGTAATTCATTGACAACAATAACAACATATCACAGGATTCATTATTAGCAATCTCCACCCGTGCCGTAGACTTTTGATTGCATTATTCTTAGATTTTTTTATGCTGTTAACTCTACTATTATGTTAACTGATAGTTTGGGCCCAATGTCTTGGAAAAGTTGACATAATCCATAATATTAATTTAAATTTTTACAGAACTTCACTTTGTCCAGCTTCCCTGGGCAGTTTTATGGTCACTAAGCAGATGCTTTCTGCATTTGGTGGTTGAGAGTCTGTGGTTGAGAGACTTCTGTAGCCAGCGCTGCCGTGGGACAGACTGACAGAACAGTGCTTATTCGTCTGTGTCAACAGCCTCTCCAAACACCTCTAACCATCCACTCTTACTGTATTTACTCCAAGTTATGGCTATAGTTTAAACCATTATGCATTTTTATTAGGGAGAACTTAGATCTTTTTGATATTTATAACAGTTTTGGCTAGGTGTTCACAATATATTGATATTAATTTGTATTGTCATAAAACCCTATTGCAGTCTGACATCAGGAGAGATGGTTATATTGGGTAATATAAAGCTATCTATGAATAATGATCAAATCTAAGACTTATTATGCTTTTTTAAGGTATTTAGTATTAAACTATAACTTAGGTAGATAAGTATTTTACATTTTGTTAATTGTAAACCATAATTTTGATCTAAAGCAGCTTCATGATAGTCCACTGACTTTCTTTTCAAAACTCCAGAACTGATAAGTACCTCTATAGTGGAATTTCACCTTAACAAGCCGTAGATTTTCAATTATGTTTTTCTTGTTGAAAATCAGCACTCAAGCATCAAATCCAGAAGAGTTCGGGATTACTTAAACATGCATGAATTAGTCCAAATACAACTCTGAGTAAGCCTACACACTATTTAACATGTTTAAAAGATTATAACAGTAGATTTTACATGTTCCCTTTTCACTTGTGTTACTTGTTTTTAATGGCCATCGCTCCCTTCACTTTCCCTTTTAGTTCCTGCTATGGTGCACTGGGTTAAATCTTTGTACTTGTCAAACACACAGTATCCCAGCATGTTACTGCACAGTCCCATGTATTCAGTTTCATCTCAGACGCCCTCCTCATGCGCCCGCTCTCCTCCTTCTCTGGATCACTTTCTCTTTTCTTGTCTTCACACCACTCTTGTAATTAGACCCACCAGCCCCAGCGTCTCCAAGCTGCTAATAGTAGAGTGTGTATTTTTCACTTACTAAGGCGCACTGAAACTTACACTGGCCAAGCCCACAGAGAGACATCCCAGAGTAAAACTGTTAAAAATAGCTTCCTGTCAAATAAAATGTGTCAATTGGGTTTAGGGAGTAATTTAATCATGGCTTTTGAGTGTAGGTCCTGGGAAACTGAAATTTCTAGACTAAGCAAAGAATCATTATACAAAAAAGTGCTGGCAAAACTGCAACTATTGAAGATTATTATTTTCTAGAATTGTAGTTGACTTTATTTTAACTCAATTCATTACAATAATCTAGTAAAGAGACAGTGTATTATTACTGCTTGTCCTGAGTCTGGATAAAACCATGGTTCTGTCAGGAGTAGATGTAGGAGATGTATCTAAAAATGGATATTATCTTAATTGTTGTTTTGGAAAGTAGAATGTCAAATATATAGTTTATAATAATTTAAAATGGTTTAAAAGGAGGGCTATAAAATGTTTAAATCTGTGCTTTAAAATCTGCTTGTGACTGCACACTTGGCCTTGGTGAGCTCAGAGGGATAATGTTACACAGACAATTAAGCAAAACTATTTTTAGTAAATGAACATTCAATACATTTTTACCAGATGCCTTTCCCATCGTAACTTGCCACTAGGCTTTTAATGATAACAGATTTTGCTGGACCAAAAATTTATTGTGATAAAAGATATTATTGCCATTTTGAGACCATTTTCAACTAATATAATGACCATGGAAGAAAAATGCAAATACACCCTCTCAAAGATCAGTAAACCTTACTTTTTAAAGAACATTTAACACAGGAACTTCAAGACAAGAAAAAACAACAGGCCTAAATAAAATAGACTTGTTAACATAAAAATACCCTAATGTAGTCTGGCTTACACCAAGGACTTGTTAACAAAATGCACTTGAATAAACTATTGTTCTGTCTGCCTCTGTCCTGGCTGATATCGTTTAGGTTTCTTGTGGGATTTCGGACTCTTGTGACAATTTCGGAAAATCGAGCTCGTTAAAAGCTATCATACAATTAACTGATTTATTGATTATCATTACAACTTGCCACAATATTTGACTGGATTAAGCGATGGGTTGAACTCTGGAAAATATGGTACATTCAGTTTACTATAATAATGCAAAATAGTCTTTTCATAATCTTCACAATTTGACAGCTTTACATTGACCTCTTCGTGATACTTTGAGATGTGTTGCTGCCATTCGATTATTTAAAATATTACACTTGACTTAACCTGACATCAACAAACTTTTATGATAGGTTTATGTATTATATCTGGGGGGACTGAGCCTTTGCTGCCACTGTCCTCTGAAACTCTTAAAACCCATCAGGAATTCAGTACAGCACTTCAAATCTACTAAAAACTGCTTCCTGATGTCTCCTGACGTTAGTGAAGAATCTCTGAGTGTCCAAAAAAGTGCAATATAAGTCTGATATATCATTACTATTTATGTTTTTAAGCTAACAATGACTATTTGTTCTTTTAAAATGCTTTTAAACTCGAAGTACACTAAGCAGGAAGTTGTCAGAAACCCAGAAGTGATACAACCCTGACCTACATTTGACATCTCAAGTTTTTTTCCCCCCAAACTGCAGCAGCGTCATTAAGTCTGTCAGTCCAATTTCACACTCCACAGACCCAGATAGGCGTCGTCAGTGTGTTCACAGAGACCACTCTGCCTTTTGCTAAATTAGTCCTACAATAATTCTGTCATCAAGGTTTTGTCACATTCACACCCATTCATTTTTCACTCCAGCTCTTTGAATTGCAGTCAAGTGACCATGACCTACAGGCTGAAGGAGAGAGCAATGAGATATTTATACTGCAAAATTTAAGTACACTAAATAGATCCATGTTTTATATTTACTTACTGGAGTACATTTTGAGTAATCCTTTATTATTAGTCTGTCTACATCTCCAAAGCTCAAAATGCTCTGTTCTACTTTGTGATCTCGTGTAGTGGTAGTTGTCAAGTTGACTTAGACTTAAACTTAAACTTAGACAAACTTTATTTATCCACAAGGGAAATTACTTGGACACAGAAGCTCACACATCACAATATAATATAATAAAGAGTAAAAAATATAAATGGTAATAATACATTTTAAATATGTAGCAAAAAAGATAGACAGCAACCTTTTACCTTAAGTCCAGCAGAGATTCGTATTTCCAGGGCTGAAATCATCCAAACGATTCTAGTGAAGGTGTATGGAGTTTAAACGCAGTGGAGCACTTCCTGTATTGCCACGTAATGTCACAAAGTGGAACTGTTTTCTGTTTGAGAGAAGGACTCATCCTAAATTTGCAGGGTTTGTGTGTCAAACATGTGCGAATAATACTTTTTCAACTAATATTTCTTGCTGAAACAGTACTTTTTTAAGAGATGCTTAAGAGTGCTTTTCCCCTTTCGGTCTGACCACACATATTGCATGTTGAGATTCTTGCGGTCCATAAAGCCATAACTGTATTTCCATGCTGCGGTCGTGTTGCTCAGACAGTAGCACAGTAGAGGATTATGGGCCCATTTGTTTCTGTCTGCATGTTTCGTTTTTACAGAGAAATTATGCATCTTGGGTACAATTTAGAGCAGGGCATTTGCCTGGTTAAGTAATTAGGAAAAGGCTTAAGAATCTTGAGTATACCACCGCAGCAGAGAGGAGAGTGTAGCAGTTCTGAAATGAGTGGATTGGATTTGCTTCTGCTTTTAGACACTGAATGAAAAGATGGACCTGAGGGAGACGTGAAATAATGTAGCTTCGTGTTTGAAATAGTTGATATCTCTGAGGACTCGACGGCACATGCACTGTTGAAGTCATTGAGCTACTGAAGCAGGTGTGAAGGACCCTTATGGCTGTAGTCAAGTGTCTTATAATGGTGAAAACAGTACAACATGCTGAACTTCAGTGGAGCTTTTCAACCAGTATAACAATTATTTCAAATTCAAAGGGCTTACAACTGTATTTTTGCAGTTTCTGTTTCAATTAGGGATGTAACAATATCCAGATCTTTTGGTACGATATTATCTCGATATACATCTCACGGTACAATATTTATTGCAACATTTTAGAGAGGCTAATAATAGTAATACTTGTAGATATTACACTTTTTTACTTTTGAAATACCTTGACAAGATTTTGGTGTGAATTATTTCCATCATAATCCCAAGAATTCAAGTAAAAAACATATTTCTTCATGTTGTCTGCACTGAAATGAATCATGGGATATGTAGTTCCCTATGTTTTTAAGCTGTTGCTACTAAAAAAATCATGCATTTAAGCGAAGAAACTTGTAATTCGATATATTGTGACAGCCCACGGTATTATTGTGAGACTTTTGACGATATTTCGGTTATTGTTGTTGTTTCAATCCACAGTTAAATTAGACTAGCTCAACCACATTACTATTCATGAATAGCAGTGTGGCAAAAGATATACATGCATTTGCTTTTTTAGTCACTACTAGAATTATAGCTCAGGTATCTTACAAAACATTTTTATTTTTACAATTTAACAAGTGTAATTTTTCACAGATTTATACATTTAAGCTTGCTTTTTCAATTCTGCTGTATTAATCTTTAGTTCACTGATGTCAAACGATGCAGCAGTCTCCTGGTTAAGATTGTTTTCCTACAGTCATTGAATAATTATGTACTATTTAGTTTGGTTAGTGCTGCAGGCCTTCCAGCTGTTCAGGAGATAAACAGGACGAGATACACCCGAGTTACTCATCAGTTTTAATCACTGGGCTGACCCCGAGAACAGGACATCTCACTATTCACTCCCTATGGGCATTGCACAATCTTCACCCACTAATGCGTGTGTTTGGACAGTATAAGTAGTCATTGGTAACATCAAAAGGGAAACACAATAAACCAAGTCAGTTTTTCACTTAATTGTACTTTGTGGAAGGCAATTTAAAACAATATTACTAAGTCAAATATATGAAACAATGCCAGTTTGATTTTATTAATTAAAAGCTATCAACAAGTGTATTAGTTTTTATCTGAGTTCTGTTTATGTACCATTCTGCTTGTTTTTCTAATTGAATTTCAGTGAGTATTTTTGTATTGATATTGTGAAAATCTACTTTGCCTCTGTTTCAAATTCCCACGTATCTTCTCAGGAGGAGAGCAGCGCAAAGGGCGAAGGTCAAAGTGTGCGCTCCAGATTTGGGCCAAGTACCGAAGAAGACTTGACTGGCGCTTCAAAACAGGTCAGCCTCTTCATCCCATTCATATGTGTAGTTCAAAGTAATGTAAAGGTTGAATAGTATTTTCAAGTGGTAAACTAGTGACAGACGATTGTGTTATTTTTGCTCAGGATTTGCTCCACAGTGCACCGCAGAAACCAGTTCGTAGGAAATACCATACAGAAGTCCCAAACATGGACGTACCACCCCCTGCAATGACGCTGGCTCCTCCCACCAAGGCTCCTCAGAAGTAAGTTAATCTTTTACAAATTATTATATTGCTGATAAGAAATAGTACTTGCGTTAGTGTTGAAACAGATCAAATTATGAGATTCATATAAGTATTTTAGGCACAAAAATCCTCAAACTAAGGGAAAAGAGAACTGCAAGATATTGCCAGTGCTTCACAAAGTCATTGAATTTCCGCAAAATAATATCCATGTTCTTTGTAGTTCTTTTTCTGCGTCATCAAAAAGCAATAATTAAGGGGTAAAAAAAAGTCTAATTACATTGAAAGGCTAAAAATAAATACAAGCACATCTTAAAGTCTTGTTGTGGGTGAAATAAAACACACTAGTGACTGTTGAATTATTAAATTAATCCAGAAAAATACAAATATTTCCAAAGCACAGCTCAAACATGTGCTTCTCAAATTGAATAAACTACAAAACTGTCAGTCACAGCATTCTTCTAAGTGATTTATTGCTCCCCTGGGGTAGTGTGGACAGCATTAATTATCTGATACAACATCCAGCCATCATATCATAACCACTGATGAGGAAAATTAAGATTATCTCTTCATTGTGGGAATAGTTTTTGGGTGGGATATTTTAGCATTTTGTCCTATATGTTGATGTGATGTGTTAGAAGAAGGAAAAAAGTGATAGTGCAGTGCAGTGAGAGTATTTCCAAAACTGGTCTGCAGTGTTCAGAAATGTCAGCGTTGTTAACATCATATTAGATATTAGAGCATCAGAAAGGTAAACATATTAACAATAAATAAGAAATGATACTAGAACCAATAGACCTTTTTCACAACTGCCGGAAGTACCGTGATGTAGGGTAAACGTCACTTATTCACTTATGTTAATGCTTTTCTATAGCAAAATATCTGTGGAAATGTCTCGCTTATTTTCCATCAGCTTCATAAATCTGCCCCATCACCAAATCTTGATCCAACAAGGTCCACAAAGGACATATTCTGTCTATGAAGAATTTATCCACAAATATCAAAGTAAGAAAGATGAAAACTTAAAGGTGAACAAAGACTAGCATTAGTCTGATATACTCCTGAGCGAAACTAACATTATGGTCATGAATAAAACATAAGTAATAAGTAATTTATTCATAAGTAACTGGTTAACTCAGACTGATTCTACAATTAAAATAAAAAATCGATTTCATGATATAGATATTAGCATAGATAGAGATTTGTGCAGTTCGAATGCTACAGATGTTCACAGATTACATGTCTTGCATTCAAACTGCACAAATCTCTCTGTCTATACTAATATCTATATCATTAAATCGATTTTAAAGTTTAATTGAAGAATCAGTCTGAATTAACAAGTTAAATATTTTTTATTCATGACCATAATGTTAGTTTTGCACAGGAGTAGTTCACTAATGCGAGTCGTTCGTCTTTCTTACATTGATAGTTGTGGATTAATTCTTCATGGACAGAATATGTCCTTTGTGGACCTTTTTGGTTGAAGATTTGGTGATGGGGCAGATTTATGAAGCTGGTGGAAAGTACACAACACATTTTCACAGATTTTTTGCCATAGAAATGCATTAACGTACCCTACATCGCGGCACTACATCGCGTTGTGAAAAAGGTCTATTACCAATTTCTCCTAAAGAATGTAGTTATAAAAATCTTTAGCATTATGTATTTTAACATGTTTTATTTATTGTTTTTATGTATGATTTACTCTTTTATTGCTGTAATTTGTCCTTGGAAACATGTTTATAAAATGTTCTGTACAAATAAAGTGGAACGAATTGGATTGAATACAGAAAATAATCTATAAATGTGGTTTAAACACTTCTAGATAATTGCTTATACTTATAGACAGTATTAAAAGCACTAGAGGATACAGTGATTACAGCTGCAGTAATGTTATTGATCAATAAACTCACTCAACTTAATTCATGTTATTAATACTGCAATGTATTGTGATTAGGGTGCTGTCCAAACAGAAGAGGGAGATCCAAATGGCCATCCGTAAGAACAAGGAAACCAACGCGGTGCTGAAACGTCTCAACAGCGAGCTCCAGCAGCAGCTCAAGGTTAGCTCAGCACATGTGTTTTTAGTATGTGTAGCATGTGCAGCTCTGTACACAGCCCTGCTCTGATGAAGTGTGTCCATCCACAGCATGTGAAAAGACGTGTGGGGTGTGCCGCCGGGCCGGGGGGAACAGGGGAAATCTACTCTTAGTACAGACTTAACTGCACTGGACATACTTGACATATTAAGTATAGCTCAGAGAGAGACGGCTTACAGAGTCAAGAGAGGCCTCGGGATAAATACAACAGCATGGCATTCCAAGTGAAGTTATTAATGGAGCAATTTTTTGTTTGGATCTTGAATCACAAACTCCCTAAAAGCAAGAAAAACACAGAGAAACCACTTTCAGTTCTTTTCATGATTTGATTTGTGTACTTTTTCTCATTCAGAAGAAGAAGTAATTATTTTGAAATTTGAATCAACAATGCTGCATTTTCATAAATCTGAGGCAAGGATACCATAAGCTCTTTCAGAAAACCAGCGTTACTAGTTGGTGTTGTAGATTACTCCAGTGTCTTTATTGACACTTTTTCAAAAGCTTGCAGTTCAGTGTCAGGACCTGGATTTTGTTCTCGTCTAAGTGTGAGGACAAATGCTCCTCTCCCTACTCCTGTCAGCTGCTCCTCTGTCTTCTTTTGTCTTTTGCTCATGTCAACTGCTTTCTCTGTCTGCTCTTCCTTCTGTTTCTCTCTGCTCCTGTCTGTTTCTCTCTGCTCCTGTCTGTTTCTCTCTGTTCCTGTCTGTTTCTCTCTGTTTCTCTGTCTGCTCCTGACTGTTTCTCTCTGCTCCTGACTGTTTCTCTCTGCTCCTGACTGTTTCTCTCTTCTCCTGTCTGTTTCTCTCTGCTCCTGTCTGTTTCTCTCTGCTCCTGACTGTTTCTCTCTGCTCCTGACTGTTTCTCTCTGCTCCTGACTGTTTCTCTTCTCCTGTCTGTTTCTCTCTTCTCCTGTCTGTTTCTCTCTGCTCCTGTCTGTTTCTCTCTGCTCCTGTCTGTTTCTCTCTTCTCCTGTCTGTTTCTCTCTGCTCCTGTCTGTTTCTCCTGCTCCTGTCCACTGCTCCTGCCCTCACCCAGAGCTGGACAAAAGCAGGGCCCTGGGTGTTGGGGTTTGGCCTCACAGATGGAGTATGGAGCACATGTAGCGTGCCTGTCATTCTGCCGTTAATGACACAACAGGGAAATCTAATATGTTTAACTAAGATTAGTTCCCACAGCCACATTCAGATGCCAGTCTCTGTCTGTCTTTCTATGTGAATTTAATATTTCCCTCATTTGAACTGTGTGAACAAACTACAACAACTACAACAATACTAACACAGTAAGCTATTTTTGTTATGAGCTTAGCTTGAATTTTGTAGCTATTATGCAATTATGCAAAACTCTCTGAATGCTTTTACAATTGGCAATTTTAATTATTTCAGCAGACTGAGCTAGTACTGGTGGATCTATTTTTCACACTAATTTAGACCAAGTTTACAAAAATGTAAGAAAGGCTTTGAAAATAAAAATTTAGAAAGCTTTTTTACCGATGTTTTATAAGAGAATGAACAGATGTACAATTGGCTTCTACATATGTGATTTATCATCATAACTGTAATTCATTTTATTTGCACAAGGTAATCTAGTTATTTGCTGCAATTCAGCTTGACTCGCAAAGTATGTGTGGAATCTGCAGCGAAAGGCGCACATGTCTGTATATAGTCCCAGGCCTGGTTTAAATACCAAACAGCCAATGGCATTCACAACTGTCCCCTTTAAAATAGAGCCACGCGGCCAGAGACCCAGCTTCAGCAGTGAGAGAGAGCGGATGAATCCGTCCTTATAACCTTAGCTTGGAGTAATTGGAAAAAGCATCATATTCTTTCATAATCCCCAAAGTCTTAAGCCCACTAACGTGGAACATTTTTGGAGAAATATCTCAGCACAAGTAGTTTTTATAGAGTGTGAAAAGATTTTAATATACTTTAAAAGAATGCTACCTTTATGAGAGCAGAGCTGGCCATAACAGGCAGTAGATCATTTTATATGGAAGATTTTTCAAGTTCATCCAAAGAATGTGACTTTTTTAGTGGACATTGACATGTAAAGTAGTAATAAAAATGTCCATAACAAAGGTGAGTTAGTTTCTTTTTATTTGTCATTAGGTGAATAACCAGATGTTCATAAATGTACCATTTGTAAGTTTATTTTTTTGCAAGGTTTTTGCCATTTTTTTGTCAGTAGAAGTCACATGTAAACCTGGTCCCCCCTCCCCTCACCTGGCCTTTGTTCAGTCTCACCTGTGCTCTCCAGTGTTCTTCTGTCCGGCCAAAGCTGGCACACTTGTCAGACAGCAACTAACGTAGATAGCATCTAGTGCTCATATGTAGAATATGACAGAGCCAGGGTAGCCTTTAGCTCTTTTGTCCATTTCTTTTTGTCCGGAGAACTTATGTTATGTTAGTGTGAATGAGATTGATTTGGTTCGACCTTTTTTTTTCATTTAAACAATAGCTTGCTAATAAAGCTATTCATATTGTATAATTTAAACATAGTATATGTTTCTACTGTTTCTATATGCTAAATCATAATTTATGCAGGTGTGCAAAGTCATCACAAAGTAAAGGTCCTTTGCCTGCAGCTGCTGTTGTTTGTACAACTTATGCAAAAGGATCAGTTGACATTGACGGGGTGAAATTAATATGCATGCAGCAACTTGCTGCTAATTATTTTTGTTGACTTTGTTACCATGACTAAGCTGAGTAAATATGCCATCCACAGCCTGTGAGCATCTTGTTCTGCTGTCACTGATCAGATTGTGTGTGTTTCTGTGTGTTTTTGTTGTTGTATGCAGGTGGTTCACCAGGAGAGGGTCACCTTGGAGTCCCAGCTGGAGCTTGTGCGGCCCGTGGCTACAACATGACTCAGACTGGACTAAGGTCATATGGTCCTGCTTCATCCCAGAGTCTTTGTAAGGACTATAGACTCTTCAACAAAGTCAAACTTATCTGGGCGTCGAACTTGCATCTCCGGTGGTGCCCCACTTGGACATGTTCAAGTACTTCAGCTACTGCAACATGCTGCAAGACAATGTATTTTATCACGACTGTATTATATGGCTATGTAAGTTATTCTGTTTCACTGTGGGATCCTAACTTATTTGTTTTATGTTATGTGTATTTGTTCTTTAAAGCTCATCCATCATCTGTCTATGCATCTCACTGTTATGAAGTACAACTTTGAGATTGTTTACATACTGAATGCATATACAGATCAGGCATAACATTATGGACTCACTATTCATGGTGAGTTTTTCTATAATGACAATCTGCATGTTATACAGCAATATATATTTTGGAGATGGTCTTAACTAGCCGTTATCTAGCCATGTTAGACTTGCCTTTCTTCATATTGAACTCACCCAGCATAAGGATGCCAAAATGATGAGATAAACTTTGTTACTTGGCCACAATGTTACGCCTGATCATTGTATACTGCTATCCAATGTATGCACCCATGTGTGAAGGTGCTACAGATGTTATTGCACTGCTAGCAAAATGCACATTGCAAAGTTGTACTAAATGTTTTTATAATTAGTTTTTTATCATTTCTGCTCTGCACACTCCATATGTGTGTGGTGTTATGGCACGCAGAGGGATCATGAAGACTAAATAAAATGAGCAATGAACTTTTTAATTTAAGATTTGTAACATGACAGTTCTATTTTTCCATAATGCATCTCTATTTTTGTTCAAAACATAAACATTACATGAATTACTTTTATCATTAAAGATGGCACAAACTGAATGGACTTGCGTGCTATTGAGATTGCTATATTTGGTAAAAGACATGATTGCCTTCCTGGATGTAATGTGATGCTGCATGTTTGATCAAAAAGACTGGACAGTTACAAAGTGCTCTCCTGACAATAAACCAATAAAGTTGTCTATTTTTATCTGCTGTAACTGAGTGATTATCTAAATTTGTTAATGACTTCATTGTATGGGACTTCCTAGCTAATTAGTTTCCTTAAAACAACTTGTGAATCTCACTGCTGATTGTATCTTGAGCTGGGGACTAAAGAAAGATCAAACGGTCCCCAGTCTGAACCCTGTGGCACCCCTGGAGCAGCTGCCCCTTTCCCTACCTCAGTCACAACAAACCCTAGTCAGCCAGGTCTCGTGATGGTTGTATTCAAACCCTGGCCCTTTACCTCCAAAAATATGCCTCCCATACTTTGACGCCGACTGAACTGAGTGGCTCCAGTTTGTCTCAATCAAAGGCATTTTCTGTTCAGGCACACCATTTCATCCTCTATTACCAGTATCATCATAGTTATTCTTCTTACTTAGGTGTGCCGGGTATCTGACAGTAGCAGAGAATTACACCTCTCCTGTTAGTACTATCTCATAAATGTTATTCACCTCAAAACTAGGGCCTTTCTTCAAAATGTAGCAGTATACTGTATGTATAGATGTGTTAATGATATGATAAATATATAGAAAGCTTCTCAAAAGTATCTTGGATTGTTAAAATACATCAGGTGTGGGCAAATTACGGCCCGCCAAACTTAATTAATAGTAATAATAATACAATAATTTTCAGTGTTTTAAAAGTAATTTCAATAAATAGTGATTACCGTGGGACTTGAAAAACAGATATTTTGTTGTAATGCTTTGTAATGATTTTCAGTTATGGGATATTTCAATCACATGGGATATGTTTTCTACACATCCCATGTTATTTTTTGTCTCTTATGAGGTGGATTACCAAAAAACTCTTATCCATCTGCTCCAGGTCCGGCCCTTCCTTCAAATTTTAGAACCCACAAGTCAAAAAGTTTGCCTACCCCTGCAAAACATCAAATTGCACGATGGCAACCAACAAGAATGAATGACAACTGTGTACAGTGTGTAACTCTGGAGGTGGCAGCTGCATAATTCCACAAAAAATAGAAAGTTAAAATCATATTTCAGAACAATCTCCATGGAGGGAGGTTTTATGCCATAGTCCAGGATGAAGTCTTCCTCCAGGCCAGTGTCAAGTTTGTGGAGATGCAAGCCCGCTCAGAGTAAGGATGCATGTTTTTCTACATTTTTCAGTGCAACCAAAATGAAGAAGAACCAAGCCTTTAGTCTATTTTTGGCTAAGAAGTTACATACTGTGGCTTTAATCAGTGCACTTGTCCTAGTTACTATCTATAATGGGCTCTATGGCTTCAAAGAGCTTTCTGAGATATAACTATATGCCGCCCCCACTCCCAAGAAAAGACTTGATGAGTATGAATGAGTCTGAGAAACTAAAGATACCAGACGACATCAGGGTGCCATTACCAAAAGTTGGCACAGAGCAGCCTGTCACTACCTGCAGCTCCAGTGTTCCAAGTTTATTTCCTCTGTTGCATTCAGAGAGCAAAGTGTGTGTGTTCATTTGGTCTGACAGCTTAATGGGAAGCCTTCCTCACTGCACTATAAATACCACTTAGATTTGTTTGCTTTGCATTTCAAAGATGGCAGCTGCGTGTGATGAAGGATCTATATGTGTCAGGTCATGTGCGGCTTTATAAGTATACCTCTGATGGAGATGCAGTAATTGGCATGTAGGACACACAGGCTAGCTCAGCAGTGATTATCTATGTGCTTATTACTGTTAATGAAGCTGCAGGCTATAGATGGTAATTTCAGGTTACACCTTTCTTCAGCTGGACCTCATTAAATTCATATACGGTGCAATTACTACCATTACTACTAATACTGCAATTGCCTAATGTAAATGCACAGTTAAAATAAAATATAGTAAATGTATAGCATATTTTTGTAGGCTGTAAAATAGATGGATTGAGGGAATACAGTGGAAAGTTGAAAATGGTAGCTTTGACATGACATAAGCTTATCTATTACATAAGAGTGAGTTCTTGAACAGCTGTAAAAAGTCTCAGGAGTCACGGTGACCTGCATCCTGCCACTCTACCCTAACCTGTCTCTAGCACAGGGGTGGGCAATTATTTTTTTCCATGGGGCCACACAAGAAACAGAAAATATTGTGGAGGGCCGGGCCAAAATGCTTAACTCAATTCTGCATAATATTAATTGTATTTCCTTATAAAAAGCAGTAAATGGCATTGTTTTGATGAGCTGGTAAGACTGGTAAGAGTTTATGTTATGACTAAGAATGAAAAAGTGAAAAAAACACCTCTAAAATAAAGTTTAAAGCTTAAAGTTTAAAATAAAGCTTTTCTTTTTTTATTTTCTTTTTTTTTTAGTCCATGCATGAGGTAAAATTATAAAATAGGTTTATTTTGTAATTCCAAATTATCTTAAAAAGGCCGGTCAGAGTCAACCAAAGTGCTGTATATGGCCCAGAAGTTGTACAAAGCCCAGGTCTGCTTCAGGAGTAACAACTCAAAAAAATCTCAATTTGTATAATATGTACGGGGGTCCACACCTGCCCTCTTCACTTCATACTGTGGAACATTCTAGTGAAAGGCAATAACAGCTCCATGAAGACAAGATTACAAGATTACATTTATTTCAACGCCAGGCCTTATTTTGAACCAGATCTCTATCCTGCTAATGAAAACCAATTGCAAACATGCCCGAGGAGCAGGGGTCACCGCCGCAGTTCTCACAACACAGATTAGCAGCTTTTATCTGAGCAAGTGACTCTATTGTGGCGGACCATTACTCAAACATGACGCCATCCTCCATGGGACGCTCTCCTCTTTGTCCCGGGCCAGGCTTTGCTACCACTGCATTTCTGCTGTGGACTTTGGTTAGGCCACAGGAAGAGCTCAGGCCCCTGACACCTCCATCTAACAGGGATTTGGCTAAATACTCCATCAGCAAATGTGAAAGAGGTGGACTTACACACTGTCAAGCCCGGACGCGGAAGTAATGAACAAACATACAGTTAAGCCTGGAACGAATATTATTATTTACTTTATTTATTTAATGAGACAGGGACAGTGCACAATATACATTAACCTTAACAAGAGATGCAGTGTACCAGGTTGTAGCACCAGTGCTAATTTCCATCTGTAGTCCCTAGGCACCCTGGACCCTTATTATTAACCCAATTATAGTTAGGTTTATGTATTGCATTTGTACTATTGAGTCGTTAATTTAAAGGAGCACTATGTAACTTTTCTGCTGGAAGGTTCTGCCACCTGCTTATACATATGTTATGATTTTTTTTATAATTAATGTGGAGAGGCAAGTGGGGGGGACTGAATCTCCAGATCTTGAATACAGATCTTGGTCAGGAGTAACTAGCTGAAGGATTAGCCCACTGTGTATATTTTAGGCTGATTGGTGAAATTGGAGTAATGAATGGAAATCCACACAGACGTATGAAGAACATGCAAACTCTTCACAAACATACCCCTGGCTGTCCCCCATAAAGCCACACTTTTACATAGATCTTCAGGTTCAAATGTGCGTTCTGAAAAAAAGAAAAACTGGTTCACATGAATTGTACATAGTGTAATTTAGTTCTCATAAAAGTCGTATACTAGTAAACATGATATGACTGTGTGTATGTCAAAACATGGCATTGTATTGCAGGCTTTTTGCAGACACCCTGATCCTACCCTGATACTCAGGCAGGGTGTAGTAGCTTCAGGGAGTGTCTTACAAAACAATTGGTGTATGTCCTTACCACACGCACTCAGGCACGTGGGAAAAAAATGCAGAAGTTATGCAGAAATCTCTTAATCTCCATTAGTGTATGCACCAACTAAAAAAAAATAGATATCATTCCTGCTACAATCCTTCAAAGTATTTGTATTATTTTGTTTATTGTTAAGGATGAGCAGCTTTTGTAGTAAAACTCAGTGCATGTGTGAAAAACAACCTGGAATGCCAAATGTATAAATAACAATCGTTTCGTAATCTCTTCGCTGCCATGCATGCTTACCATAGCACAGCAGCATCACCTCCACCACAGACAACCTACGTCAGCGCCAAAGTCCGGATCCAGGACGCTCCGCAATCCGCGCCGTGTTTTGCCCCCTTCTCCTTTTAAAATCCACCTCGACTTTCTTTGGAGCAGGGAAAACAGAGTAGCGTCAGGGGCAGCAGATGACCGACCGGCGCAGCAGCGAGGAGCACCCCAGTCCCGTCCCAGAGACAAATGAAAGGATGGGGAGAACCAGAGGCTGAACCGAGGACAGTGGAGCACGGACCCAAGGGAGAGAACCTACTTTGGGACACTTTCTCTGGATTTAGTCCCCGGTCCGGATCAACAATATGCCATTTGCCAAACGACTCGTGGAACCCCAGTTAGTTTGCAGGCACTACATCCCAAACGAGGACGGTCTACTTTACGAGGACCTAGTTACTATCAATAATGTGGCTCTATCGAGGACTTTACGGCAGCTGTCGGATCTCGCCAAACACGCGTGCTCCATTTTTCAGGAGCTGGAGAACGACCTCACGTCCACGAACCAGCGCGTGAGGAGACTCCACGGTAAAATTAACCTACTTCAGCAGACATGTGCCGAACTGGACCCCAAGCAGGAGGCAGTGCGTAAGTACTTTCACTCTTTTATCTGTTGACGCCGCGCTGCTCCATGCGCTCGTCTCCTCTTCCTCCGGTCCGGACTGAAAGGAGTGCGATGCTTACTACTGGCTTGTTACAATGAGTTTGAATTGGAATTTTTCACTTTTACCTGTGCATTTACAGTTGTCTAAATGGTAACTCGTGTCACTTTGTTCATTTGTCACACGTAAATAAGGTTTTGGATTTGCATTTTATATCCACGCTACCTTGAAGGCGCGTGTTCTTTGAGTTCGCGTCATTCATCTGTTGTTGTTTTTTTTTTTTTATAACGCTGCTATAATCCTCTTATATTCATGGAGCAACAACACATGCTAGTAAAACGGGGTTAAAAGGAGTGGAGTGCCCTTGTGTAGGATTTATGTGTCAGAGTAGTTGCTTATACGAGTGAATGGAGCTGGTGCGTCAAGTAAAAATGTAAAGATGGTGCGGGTATAAAAAGTAGAAATGCTCTCTTGTCTCGAGGCTGTGCTGTTTTATGTGTAGCTGACAGGGAGAATTCATCGCCCCGATAACGCAGCATGTGGCCATCGCCTGGGTGCTTTTAATCTCAGAGTTAACCCCCTCTGGCTAACGGAGGTGTTGTTTTGATAGTGAAGTGAAGTGTGTGTGCGCACAGGGGCACTTTCTACTCGCACCTCGTCTGGAAAGCGGCGCATCCCTTCTTTTGGCCCCGATGAGTGCTTTGAATGGCCCGGGACATACCTGAGTGGATATACCCCGCTTTTTGTCCAAGCTTGGCGTGTCGCTGCTTGTCCCCATTTTCCCGCACAGGCCATGCTTCCTGTGGCCCAACAATAAAGTGGCTTTCTCTGGGAGTCTTATTGTGGATAGCTACAATACTACCTATTTACCTGATTTATCATGAAGGGCTTGTATTACACTATTTTCAGATCCATGTTATAATGTTGTTTTCTAATCAAAAACGTACCTGGAATTGTGTTTTGCTTCATTTACCCACGTTTAACACCAATACTGCACATTTAGGCTGAGTTCTTCTCTCAGAAAGAAAACACTTCTATCATACAGGACATGCTCCACTGTGTTTTTAAACTCCATACACCTTCACTAGGATCATTTGGATAATTTCAGCCATGGAATTTCCAATCTCTACTGAACTAAAGGATATCTGTTAACTTGAAAACTACTACTACATGACATCACAAGGTGGAACAGAGCACTTGGGAGATGTAGACAGACTAATAATAAAGGATTACTCAAGCATGTGTGAATGAAACACAACACAACTTCAGGTAGGCTATGTTTTTGAGGAGGTAACAGCATTATAACATGACTAAAAGCTCACAAGAATCTATTTTACGTAATATAGGACCTTTAAGGATTTACTTTAACTTTTGATTCAAGACTTGCCATAGAAAACATCATAGTGGTTGAGGTACAGGGGATTACATTTTGGGTTTTTTGCTCGGTATTTGTGGTTTAGACTTGGGTTGAACTGGCTCCATGCTGGCTTTCACGATCTGAGTTATTACCAGGCAAGTATACTCACTACAGCTTTAGATTTTATTCTTGTAGCAATGAATCACAACATTTTCTGAAGAAATTGGCTATGTACATTTTCAGAAATGTAAAACTATATGGTGTGTTTTTCTCATAACCCGCTGCCCTGCTGAATTCTTAATCCCATGCATTTTACGGCACCACTTTTCCTCTAATCTGTTTTGGTTTTGTGGGACATCTCTGGTGTGGCCCGATGGAGGAATGCGGTGAACTGCCAACCATGTGCTCTCGAAATATTACCGCATAAGCAACAAGCATCCCCCTCTCCACTCAGATATGTGTAACTTAAAACTAGCGTCACTAACACGGGGACTGCACTCCTCCGCCTGGCCTGCTTTAGGAGGACCTGTGGATGTTGATTGGGTGTCACAAAATGAGCTGTCCAAACATGAGACTACAGGGATACAGGCCAGGCGCCGCTGTGTGCAAGTGTGTGGGAGGGGAGTGTCCACCAAGGAAAGCTTTTTGAAAGATAACTTTTCTCATTGTTCAAACTTTTTTTCATTCTGTGGTTTGTGCATATGCAATACTTATTACGGTACACTGTTTTCTGATCTATGTTATAATGTTGTTTCCTCATCAAAAACATACCTGGAGTTGTGTTTTGTTTCATTCATGCATTTTTCTTTAGCACAAAAATCCTGCATATTTAGGTACAATTTTTGGTAATGTAGAACCTTTAATGGATAAATAATGATTACTTGCTCTCAAAATGTCACTTCTCTTCTTTGAAAAACATGTATAATTTATTAACAAGCTTCCAAATGCTTGCAACCGCAGTAAAATTACCTTTTAAAATACACTTCCAAAGGGTGGCCTGGGGCTATAGTGGGACTGGGTGAGGGTCCATCTGTCCCTAAATGCCCCAAATTACCTTAACTGTAAAGTACAATACTGGTATTTCTTCGTCATTGTCATCTTTTGGACACATTTTACAAATCTGTGCCCCTCTGAAAAGCTTGAAACACTCCTGCCCTAAACAAAAGTGGCTGGCGTGTGCGGGGATGCTGATACCTTATCTGCTGTTCAATAAGTGACTGTGTTTCATCTTATGTGGCCAACCTGCTGCAGCTGCGTCTTACAGTGGGATCCTATGGACAGGCAAGTCATAAAAGGCCCCTCCCCACAGAGACGTCCCATTTACACTAATTGTGATTCAGATTAAAGGGGGCAGTGTTGTTTAACCTGGGACCAAGCCATTAATATGAAAAACACTATTAGCAGTAATTAAGGTCTTCCAGGCAATAGACTTTATCAGATAACAGGCTGTAGCTTCAAAGACAAGGATCAATAGTAACCAGATACCCCGGCCATATATTTTGTACCCACATAGTATTTAAAACATTTATTGACCTAGTATTTGTAGTAATTGTAGTAAGAGTGTGGTGAGAGTAGTGCTTTTGGTGCTAACTAGTGTGATAAATATTGTATATATCTGTATCAGATAAGGTCCTATATTACACAAAATGGATTCTTGTGAGCTTTAAGCCATGTTATAATGTTGTTACCTCCTCAAAAACATACTCTGAGTTGTGTTTTGTTTTATTCACATATGTTTGAGTAATCCTTTATTATTAGTCTGTCTACATCTCCAAAACTCAAAATGCTCAGTTTTCAAGTTAAGAGCTACCTTTTACCTTTAGTTATGTAGAGAACGGCAATTCCTGGTCTGAAATTATGCAAATGTTTTCAATTTGAGAGCAGAACTCAGTCAAAATATCCAGGATTTGTGTGTTAAACGCGTGCATGAAAGAACGCACAACTGCAGCTATGATTGTGAAGCAACATTATAAGATCCCAGACAGGAAAATAGTGTAATATGTGTAATATGGGCCCTTTTTCTGAATGCTATGGGAATTCCACTTTTCCAGACTTTATTAGACATGATCTGTGCATTTCACTTATATAGGAAGAATTAACATCATTATAAATAATATTCTAAGTGTATGTTGGTTCTATTTCCATTGTTACTTTCACTTTCTGACCACCGCCTCTATATTTATGACTAACCACTGTATTAGAAAGTCAGTATATTTTCCTGGCTTCCTCCTCGTTACATAAGACAAGAACACCAGAGCCTGCACTTACGAATGAGTTATGCTTGAAATGTCTAAACTATGCGTAGCTTTTCCACTTCTTTAAACACCCCTGGAGTGCGATTCACTGCAGGCCTCGCAGCTCAGGGAGGTCCAAGCTCCACTGGCCTGGAATCAACACATCATTTATACTGCTGGATGTAGTAGTAGTAGTAATAGTAGCAGTAGTAACAGGAGTAGCAGTCCAGAAAAGCATGTAATCCAATAGACAGGACTTCCCCGAAGAGTTTTATTGACCCTCTCCAGCCATTACTGTGACTTTGATTTACTAAGTGAGGCTGCACCAACAAGTCAATGCACGCTCCATCCCAGGCTCATATCAATCAATGCTGTAACTACACCATTGTGCTACATGTGTAAAGTACTACAGTATACAGCTACTGCTGACAGGCAACATTAAATACAAACCAGATTCTAGTGTGACAACAGCTCGGTAATTCAGATATTTCTATTCAAATAAATTACTTCTACTGAACATACATTTACAACCTGTATTTGAACTTTTAAAGATATTTTGTGGCCCATTGGGTTTTGTTGACAGATCAGAGCAGGAAATGGGAGCAAAAAGGGGGAAAGAACCAGGAAGAACAAAAAAGTACGGAGCCAGGATTTAGACACTGAGGCAGGCAAGTTTTCTAGTGCATGGGCTGCTTTTCTCACTACTGTGAAAGACAGTATGAGAGTTGCAATAGTACTACAAGAAGTAGTATTTGTAGTAGTAACAGTGCTAATTTTATCAATAGTACTGCTAGTAAGACCACTACTGTAAGGTGCATTATGAACTTTTCTGGTGAAGGGTCTGTCACATGTTTTTCTCCATGGAGATGTTATTGCTTTCTCTGGAATCTTTCACAGTATGGTATTAAGCCTGTTTATCGTCATGGAAATCAAAACAGACCAAGGTGCAGGTCAGATCTGTGAAGAGGCAACCCCACTCACTGTCAGAATGCCTGTTTTTCTTGGTACTTTTGAGCAATAAAATATAAAATGTGATGTAAAAATGTCAGGTAGAGCTGTTTAATATCATATTGTGCAACATTCTAGCCAGAGCAATGACATCTGCATAAAAACAAGCAGGTGGTGGACTTCCAACCAAAAAATACTTAGTGCAACTTTAAAATTAACAATATATGATTTTTTTTGCCTTTACTCAATTTTATTCATATGGATTGAGTTACTTTGGTGCAACAATACTTTTCCTTATGATTAAAATGTTTGAGCAGTTTTACCAAATGACCCATTTTCTGCCAAATCTGCATTCCCGGTGTGGTGTCTTTCATGTTGAGCAGCATGTGCATATCTGGCAGGTCTGGACACCTGTTCTTCATATAGTCCTGGTTTAATTATAGAGCA